CCCGGGAGACCTTGTGCCTACAAGTCTTGCTCATTCATCCCTGCAGGAAGAGTAGTAGCCCACCCGTAACAAAAAGAGCCGATGCCGCCGACTTGACAAACACTATCTTGTCTCCCCTCCTACACTCCTGCAGGGCCAGTGAATGATCACGCAGCTCTTCCAGCCAGTCTCTAACTCCCACCAAACGGCCTTGTCCTGCGTGGGTCTGATAAGAAAGGAGGGGGAAAATATCAATAGGATGGACCTGTGAGTCATTTCAAACAGGCGTCCCGAGGGTGCTTTCCTGTTGTGTATACAAGGGGTGCCCTGAGAAGCAGGAGGCCAGATCTCGTTACCAAGAGCCAGGAGCAGAGCATGTCCCCTGCACCCAGGGAACCTCCTGGATCCAGAAGACAGCTGTACCATCAGAGGAGCCGCAGCAGAACCAGGAGCCAGCGCATGGAAGAGAGCGATGCACTTCCCAACCCACGGGAAGCTGAGTGCTTTTGTGCAGGAGAGGCTGGTTTGTAGAGAGGTGCCTCTGGGCACTTGATTTGGAAAGCTGGGCTTGCTGACCCATGGAAGTAGAGCCAGAGTGCCTTTGGGCTGAGGTTTACTGGAGTGGGGTGCCCCAGGACACTTAATTCAGGGAGCTCATTTGCTGACCGATGCAGTTCGCGGTGAATGCCTCTGAGCTGAGGCTTCCAGAGGAGGGGTATGCTCTTTGGACATTTATTAGCAGAACTGAAAGGATTTTGCAACAGGTCCTGATAAACAACCCTCCTGAGCATTTCTCGCCGGCATTACAACCTGTTCACTTCCTTAATCGACCCCGAACCGTGAATGTTGTGTATGGGTTCCAGGTAGCCATTGCCATGGATATTGGAAACCAGAGAAGTAAAATAGCAGACATTAACACTAATTAGGCCAACATAGCTGCCAGGAAAGGCCTTTAATCCCGATTCACAGGTGATGAAAGGGAAGGTCAGAAAGGACACCGCTCGCTCAAGCAAGGAAGCAGCAGCGAGACGCACAGCAGGATTTGAACCCGGGCCCACCTACTCCAGAGCCCCGGCTCTCACCCCAGTTCATGCCAGGCACCGTGCTCCCCAGGCTGGGTTTGCCCAGAGCCTGCCCCTCAGGAAGTAGGATGACGCTTTCTCATTACCAATCTTCGCAGCAAGGCAAGCAAGTGCCCCCCGGCCCCCCCCCCGTACCCATTCTGCAAGTGTGGAAACTGAGGTTGTCCAACTGCAAGCTGAGCCATGCCGAGGAGACATAAGTCGTTCACAGTGGGCAGAGCCTTGCCTTGGACTTGATGTGTCTCACTTCACACAGCGGGGATGTGAACCAGGTCCACGCTCCTAACCGCATTCCAACACTGTATGAGAGCCCCGCCCACCACAGGACATGGTTTCCCCTGCACAGCCTCTGCTTCTTGCCACCCTGACCTCCCGGTAGCTGTAGGAGCCCCAAGGCGTCTTCTGGACCAAGGCCTGTCAACACCCACTGACTGCCACCTGCGTGGTGAGCAAGAGGAAGCAGTCTTGCCTCATAAAGGAAACCCTTCGTGGGTGAGGCAGGCATGTTGAGAGGGACAACCTAGGGGTCCGAGTCCCGCGGAGGCCCAGGAAGAGACTACCTCCAAGCCAAATGCCAGCCTGTCAGGCCAAGCACAGAGTCCCTCTCCCACCGGGCCCTTCAGGAACAGCCAGCCAGCTGGCATGCCCAAGGGGTGAGTCATCAGGCACTGGGCGCTGACTCACTCACCGGAAGCTTCCCGTTGCCCCAACCTCTCCCCACACCAGCGACTGAAAACTTTGCTCCCTTCAGCCCCAGGCTCAGGCTGGCTGATAGTTTCCTGTGCGTCACACCAGGGGTGGGGGAAATCCCACTGGACACCCTCCTAGCCATGGGCCACAGCACTTAAGGTGCTCCCCTCAGCCTCCCGTCCTCACGGGGAAGCTGGGGCGGCCGGCCCTTTGTTGGGGGTGACAGGGAGGGGCTCCTCCAGGGCAGCGCTCAGAAGGCGGAACTCAGATGCCTGTGGCATGAACAGACCAGGACACGTGGGTGCCCACACATGACATGGAGACAGCACACTGGGTCATGCTACCAAATGTGTCCTTGCCTACTGGCCCTAAAGTCAGCGGCCAGAAAGATGGCGATGAGTGGAGGAGGGGGCACGGGCACAATGGGGCCAGGGGCTGGGAGCCTTCTGCCCCGGTGGAAAACCCTCCATCTGAGGGTACTGAGATCATCTCGGTGGCAGGAAGGGAAGATGGGAACCCACTGCACGGAAGACCCTTAAAGCATCTTCAAGGTCAAGTGCCAACCTCTTCTTGCTTTGTTCCAACCTCTCTGAGAAAATCAAGGCTACAAGTCCTGTGCTTAGGAGGAGGACGACCCTGGGTCAGGAGCCCAGCTGTGTGGGTTCAGCTCAGTACCTGCCCTGTCAGGCCCCGGTGTTATCCTCTTGAACGAGTCAGGCTGCAGTGAGTACGCCATGTGCAAACTGTAAAGGGCTGTGCATGCTTTTGCAAACGTGTGGCCTCAGCCTCACTCGATCCTCCAGCTCCTGGGCTGGCTGGGAGGAGATGCTGGCTGGCACAGCATCCAGCACAGGAATGGGGTGAGCAGGCGAATGACGGAGACACGAGGTCCTGGGTAGAACCCTGGCTCCAAGCCCGGCAAGGTGTGTAATACGTCTGGATCTCAGTGTCCTCATCTATGAAATGGGGCAGGGGGCTGAGTGCCATACATGACAGGATGCATGGCACAGAGAATGAGCCTCAGTAAGTCTTATAATTTTTGATGAAAGGACACTACAACCTGTCCCAGCCCTGAAGAGGCGGCGGGGGTGTGGGTGGGGGTGGGGGTGGGGTCTCTGACCTTCCAACCAGCCCACCCACATTGCCAGTTTTTTGAATCCACAGGTCAGCCAACACCCCAAGCCAGAAATACATCCTATCCTAGTCCCTACAGAAGCCCAGAGAGGGGGGCTGGCCAGGTCTCAAGTCACACAGCACAAGAACCTAGCAGGGCCCCCACCAACCATGCCAACCAACTCTGCCTTCATAGCCTTGCACCTAACTCTTGTTTTGTATTGACGGGGGACCCCAGTGTGCCACAACAGCGTCAGTCCAGACCCCTAAGCCAGAAGGGGGCATGTCTTGCTGATTGGCACCCAAGCTCCACAAGGACTGTGCAAAGCATGCCCCTCCCCTGCCACCTCCTCCAGTGACTGCCTCCCAAGTTACTCACAAAAGTTGGGCAATGGTCAGGGATCCAGCCTCCCACTTATGTAAGATATAATTACCTTGCCCACCCAGTCAAGTTCGGGACCACAGCCACCCCGAATCCTCTAGCAGAAGTGGACAGGACCACGCCCACCCCAGGACCCCAAACACAGCCTCCCATAGGCCAGTTTCTTCTGTGCCTGGGCTCATTAAGTGCTCCTGTGGGAGGGAGTCCTGGTGGTGCAGAGGTAACACTGCTTGGCTGCTAACCAGAAGATCAGCGGTTCAAACCCACCAGCTAGTCCAAAGGAGACAGGCATGGCAGTGTGCTTCCGAAAAGATTTAGTCTCAGAAACCCTCCCAAGCAGTTCTACTCTGTCCTACTGGATCGCTATGAATTAGAATCAACTTGACAGTGATGGGTTTTTAACTGTTCCTGTGACCTGCTTCACTCCGCAGCTGCAACTCAAACATAGGCACGTCCTTGCCCCCACATGGTTATGATCTTTCCAAACATGGAAACAGTAACAATCGATAGACATGTAGTCCCCACCCCCACCCCCTGCCCTTCCTGCACACCTCCCACGTGCTGGGCACCACACTGAGCTCTTCACACACACACTGGACGGTGCATCATCTCTCAACACAGTCCTGAGGTCCATGAAGGGACAGTGCCATCCCACTGAGGCCCAGGGGACATGCTGGGGTGCGGCAGCCCATTCATTACAACCATGTCCGGTTTGGAAATCTCTCTCACACACCCCAGCCTACTGAGATTCTGACACGTCAAAAACATCCTTTCCTATCCTGCAAAAAAAAAAGAAAGAAAGAAAGAAAATCCCCTTTTGCTTTCCAGGCCCGTCCTCCCCACTCTGTATGACAAATCCTACCGCTGCCTCTGCTGCTGCTGTGGCCAGGTCACCACATCAAAAATTTCCAGGAAGAGCTGCAACTGGGGAAAGGCAGAGCAAGCCCCTTTCCAGGTAAGCACCTCCGGCTGGCAGCTGGCCCGGGACTCATGGGCCGCCAGGCAGAACAGGCCTGGCAGCAACAAGCCTGGCACCTGGCAGAGGCCGAGCCCCAGGCCATGGCCCAGTGTGGAGTCCGGCACACAGGCATACAAAAGGGGCAGACTGAGGAAGGGCTGCACACCAGGGAGGGAGGGCCTGAGGGCAGCCACGGATGACCAAAGAGCCTAGGACACAGTTAGGGGGTTCAGGGTTGCAGGGTGGGGTGAGGAGGGTGGAGTGCGAGGGAGTCTGGGGGAAAAGCCTTGTGCAGTTGGCAGGAATAGGGCCCATAGGGGTGAAGCTGCGTGGGAGAGAGGGCAGTTCAGAGCGAGGGGGTAGCCAGGGTACCTACCAGGAGTGGGGGTACAGAGAGGTCCCAGCAGAGGAACGGGTCCAAATGTGGGAGGCGGATCAAACTTAAGTTACAGCTTGGACACAGCCCAGGAATCAAGGGAGAGCAGAGTGCGTCCCACATTGGTCCCACTGAGGACCCCAGCCTGTCCGGCCAAAATACAGACAGCCCTTAGGCCTCTACTGTGGGTCAGTGAAGACTCCAAATTCCCGACAGGAGAGATCAGAGTGTGGTCCCTGTCTCGGTCAGTCCCGGGAGCTCCCGGGTACACCCCAAGACCCACTTTGGGGGTCAGAGATAGTCCAGCGTCGGGTCGGATCTGGGACCAAATGGAGTTTAAGGACTGAGGCGCTGCCCAGATCCGGATGGGAGGTCCCCAGGGGGGCAGCGGTTCCACTTCTGGGCCCGGCTGCGTCCTACCTTTGGGCGGAGGTGCACTTGCAGGCTGGCTCGGGGCTGGAGACTCCATGGTTGGGAGGGTCCGGCGGCGCCGGAGGTAGGGCCTACTCCAGGGGGCAGCGGGCTCGACCTGGGCCGCGAGAACTCATGGCTGCGGGCGAGTGGCCCGGGCGCGACTGGGTAGCTGAGTAGGGCTGGCAGGAAGCGTCCACGAAGAGCCGCACAGGAGCCAGACTGGGCAGTGCCACGGAGGCCAAGCCTGACGGCGCCCGACGTAAGCCCCGCCCCGCACGCCGATTGGCTTCCTGTCTCAAGAACGCATCCGGCAGCCTATCAGACTCCACATCCGTCCCCACCCGTCCAGCCCAAGACCCCGCCCACCGCTTGCTCAGAATTAGAGCCCGCCCCCTGCCTGTCAACCCGGCCCACCACCCGGGAAACTCGGCCCAGCCAGGCTCCGCCCACTCTGTCAAGCCCCGCCCACTTCCCCCGGGAACACCCGAGCCCCGTCCCAAGCCCGTCCGGCTTTAGCCCCGCCCCGAGCGTCGAATGGCCAAGAGTGGGAGGGGAGTCCAGGATCCTATCAAACTCTAAGCCCGTCCCTGTCC